CAATCAATGCACGAAGCATCTGTAGCAAACTCTTGTGGAGCCTTAAATTACGAGAGCCACTCCCACTTATTTGGGTTAACGCTACACTAAAGTCCGCAACATCTGTTCACCAGTAGCAGCCGGCCTTCTTTATAAACGGACCCCCGTTAACATTGTACCAGCTTCTGGTTTTATGCTACGGTTGGGAACCGTCAAGTAATTTATACTTGCAATGAACAGAATAATAAAACGTCTGATGAGACCGGATTAACAAAATGCTTTAAATGCTTGAAAAAGACTACTGACTTTCCGAGATGAAAATGGACTAGCAAAACAGTAAAGTAGCTTATTTCATACTGCAGTATGGTAAAGCGTTGAAAAATATGTATGTATACCTTTTAATAGTTGAACAATGAAGTGGATAGTCTCTGAATAGACATTAATAAGAGAATCGATCAGCAATCGCAAATTGAGGCTGAGTGAGAGTTCTTGCGAATAAACGCCTCGCCTCCTACCCACAAACCCACCTTGGCGCCTTCATTCAAAAAAGAGGAATATTTGTTCGTTAAGATGGACATACAACTACTTATTTGATTTCAGGTTCGATGCCTGCAAAATCTAAAATAATAGAAAATAATTTTTCTGATAGCTGGCCCCGGAGTGCTTAGACAAACTTCTTTGAGACAAGATGAAGGTGCTCATTTTGAATTGCTGATATTTGGCATATATTTTAAGGTGACGTACTTCAAAATTATAAAGGCGTTCAGTTCATTCGTAGGATGTAGTATTCATACAAGTTCGTTATTAATATCATATGTAGTTCGTTCTTTATATATATGTACACGTGTATAAGTTGAAAATCATAAAAATATACATATGTAAGTTGTATAAGTATATACAACTATTCAAGTGTTGTTGTTTGTGTAAAAGTAATTGTTTGAAGCATTTTAGGAATAGCAGATGGTGTTATAATAAATGAGTTTTTCATGTAGGTATTTATTGAGTTATTCGACATCATGTTTCCAATTAAAAAGTGCATTTTATTTTTACAAGCGGCAAGCAGCATCTATCAACACTGCAAACTAAAAATAATTTTTATCAAAACTTTAAACTTACCTTTAGCGTTTCCTTGAAAGCGCCGCGAAAATCGCGATTGAAATAAGCATAAATGATTGGATTCAAGGCAGAGTTGAAGTAGCCAATCCAAAAGAGCAGACCGACAACAATGCGTGGTGTGGTACAACTAGAACAGAGCGTGGATGCCAAATACCTTTGTTTTGGAAAAGAAAAATACAACAAGCAAAAATATATGTATGTGTATTAGAAATAATTTATGTACATAAATATTTATAATAAGCCAGAAAAAACAGAAATGCAAGGCATTTTTTATGAAAGAAAGTTATGCGAGGGATTGTTCATTAATAAGGTAATTTAAAATTTATTTATTTGTTTATTTTTACACAAATATACATACATATTATGTATGTATGTTCACTAGGGTGATCCTCAAATGTAGGAAGCAAATTTTACATCAGATATCCAAAGCCGCAATCACCATGTCGATACTGCCATAGTCGAAGATATCACATATAAATTTTGGTCCCGATTGGAGTCGGTTTAGGCATATCGCAAAGAGGTCAGAGGACAGTTGCCTCTATGGACTCAAACATTATTATTTTTTCATTTATTACCTAAAATAGAGGATATCACATATAAATTTTGGTAGAGTCGGTTATGACGTCTTCACAGGGTAATTTGAACTTTGGCCCCTGTGCGACATATATAAAATGTAATACCTTCGACTATAATAGCATCGACGCACAGTGGGGTAATCGACCCTGAAACAATTCAATTCATACGCTCATTTAATTTAAAATATTTTGATGTATTTGTATAACTAGCAACACATAAAGTAAATAAAATTATAGTTTAAAAAACTAAACCCTTCCTATTATAATTGCCATTCGTTCTGTCATCAGGTATGTAACTTGAGAACAGAAATCGCTGCATCTTTTATTTAGTTACACCCCGAGCTAATAAAAGGAAGGTAAAAAAGAAAAATCCGAAAATATTTTAGTGGGAAATTTTTTTTTATTAAGGTTTTTATGGCATTAGCAAAGAGCGAAAAAGTGAGATTTTAGTTGTTGTTCTTATAAATAATTTTTATTATTAATAATTCGTTAAATATCATCACTATAATTATCATAGTTATCCTCGTCATTATCTTCATCACTATTTTCATCATCAACGGAAGTAATACTTTTAAAAGATTTCTTCGTAAGGCAGATTTATTCAGCTACGTTGCCAAGTAATGTAATAATAATAACTGTTTTGTTAATTGTTTATGAAAAAGTAAATGTCATTGTCATTTATAGGTAATTTTTCATATATTAATGAACTCGATAGGTACAAATTTTCTCTATACTTTCGTAAAGCTTAGAAAATAGTTTAAAGAATAGAACCTTTAATATAAACAATCATCATCTTCGCTTGCGTCATTGTCACTGTCATCGCTATCAACATCTTAATCATCACAGTTCTTCATAATTATCAAATGTTTTGCTTCTTTCGGGAAAATCTCCAAGTTCTTTGGGATAGTTTTCTCATACCTGATATAAAAGGGTCGCAACTGATCAAAAATCTATTGAATATATCTTCATTCGTCTTTTTTCTGCTGCACTTGCGACACCAATAGAGAATATTTTTAGCTCTTAAGGTCTTTGTTTCGTGATTCTAGAGCTAATTCTGACAATTGAATACATAGTGATGTAGAATTTTATCTACTTTCATATGGTACTAAAAACTTCTTCGTAGTTTTAAATTCATTTTTTGAATTCATCTCCGATATCAATTACCTCACTGTGCGACTTGGGGGTTGAGGCTTAGGAAATCTGTTGTAAAAATTTTCTTTCTACATTTAAGGACCACCCTAATGTACATAGATACATATATTTGGATATTTTTCCAACTTACCATAGGAAGAACGGCGCCCAGCACAGTAAAAATGCGCTCATTATAATGCCTAGCGTGCGTGCGGCTTTCCGCTCACGACGCATTGTTGTGATGGTCGACTGTTCGACTTGTATGCTCGGGCGTGGTTTGGGTATTTGGCTAATCTGCAAATGTTTGTCCAACAGCAAGGCAGCCACTTTGGATCTGAAAATATAAGAAATAAAACAGAAAAAAAAAATTTTATTATTTAACAAGTAAGAAAGTCTAAGTTCGGGCAGAGCCGAACATTAAATACCCGGCGCACGTATTAAATATATGTTTTTCGCCTTAACGAAAGCTACGGCTANAAAAAAAAAAAATCAGCTGAAAGTTAAATTTATTTTTAGCTACACTTTATAGTAAACCAAGGCAGCCGAAAATTATTACTCAGTAATCATTACTGTACTAGAATATTCCGTATGCGTATTTGTAAAAATACGTACATATATTAGTGTATACTCGTACAGTAGGCAATCCTTTTTGCTTACTGTAATGCTGATTTTTGGACTCAGGGGTTGTGAAATCGCCAATATCTAAACACAATTGCCACGTTATTTTCAATTCAGAAAAGCAGTCCTTTTTGAGCCACAGCAAAACTATACCCAAACGTTAGAATCAATCAGTGGTAGTTAAATTCCAATAAGATTTTGCCTATCCACATCATAATTTTAATAAACTTTCAACAATGCGTGAAAGTTTTCACTTTTTTATCATAAATCGGAATTTATTATAGGCACACTGCGCCTAAAGTTGCAATATTTGGCCAAAATTTAAGAAAAGAAATCTTGTAATTTACACGTGCCATTTTGAATTTTTGTCATTGCGACACTTGATTCTTTATCAGCAATATTGAAAACCCATACGCTTAAACTTTCGAACCGATACCCTGACTTTTCCATAAAATATTTAATTTCTGAAATTTAACCTCAAATTGTAAATCAGCGATTTCCATAGCAATACGGGAATTTTTGATTATTGTGCAGGGATATCGTGCTCAGGGACCACTGTGAGCTAAAGGAAAATTTTCTAACATTTTTATCTCAGAAAGAAAAAGAAGAACTCCCGATTTCAGAATCTGATTGAAGAAGGCCATATCTCTGAACTTGGTTCGTAAACGCCCGATCTGAACTAAAAATATATTGAAAATACGCTGAGATAAGGCGGTTTGGACCCGAATTCTGAAATAGGGCATTATTGAAAAGTTTTCTGAGATAGGGCGTTTTTAAACTGGCTGCTGAGATAGGTCCATCGTCCACTCAGCGATCGATCTATGGGCCTCGAATTCGTTATCTAGTTGTATGATTTAACTAAAGTGGCTATATCCGTTTTTGTGACGAAGTACTCAGCTTCCTGTAATGCATAGTTACCCACAGAGCTCGCGAACAAGATAAGCTTTTTTGCGGTGACAGGTAACAAGATCAAAGGAAATAAGGTCAATTGACACTATTTCGCAGACTGGATCATTTCTACATTCTTTCTTTAAATATTTCTCGTATTCCAGCTCTTTTTGCGTTTAGTTTTCCGCATCGTGTTTTTGTTATATTCGTAATTTTAAATTTTTTTAACAAAATCAATTGGTGGTGGTTCATGATTGTGCGTTAATTAATAGCATTGAGGATATGGCAATAACCTCTTTCATCTATGAAAACTTACGGGGCAATGTTTATTGTAACAATATTCATACTTACGATGCAAGAACAACATTTTTTCTTTGAATCGACATACTTTAAGCATTTATGACGCTATTTCCATTTATGAATGTAGAAATATCATCATTTATTTTATTTCCAACTTTTTATTGACTTTATTTTGCTTTTGAAAGGGTAACAATGTCAATTGACTTTATTTCGCATCAGTATGAGGAATAGTGTCATTTAAGTTATTAATATAAAACTCGTTTTTTAAGATATTTTCAAATCGGTTCAACTCACGTAAATCTTAATATTTTCCGAAGTATTTTGGCAGCTGTTTTATAATATAAAAAATGTTATTCCTCCTAATGTACATATAAGTGAAAAGGAAAGTTAAAACGGACCTACGATTCTTACAGTAGATGCCACGCTTTTTTCAATGCAACAAATCGAAGCTTTCTAGCTGCTTTTTAGTGAAAGAAGTGTTTCCAGAAATGTGTACAGCAAGATTTTTGTATCTTCGATCATAGCATAGGGCATAACGTCTTCTGGTTAAAAAAACAAAAGAAAATGTTCCGCTTGATAAAGCAAGTGTTGCATTGATATTTGTGCCAAATTCAGATTATTCAGTATATGTATGTTTCCGTTAGATAAAAGAAGTTCCTAATAAAATAAAATAAAATTGAATTAAATTAAATTAAATTTTAGGATGAAAAATTAAGCAAAGTGAAAAAATAAAATAAAATTTAAATTTATTTTATTTTATTTTGGAATGAAAATTTAAGCAAAGTGAAAAAATAAAATAAAATTAAATTAAATTAAATTTTAGGATGAAAAAGTTAGCAAAGCAAAAAAATCAAAATAGTGTTTTAGTTCAACTTGTTTGCGTCTTACCTGTAAACAAGACGCTCCTGCCGGACTGCCTCCTGATAAATGCGATAATACATAAAAACCATAACGAAGCCAGGAATCCAGAAGCTCATCGATGAACTAACAATGGCGTACGCTTTATTAACTTTAAATTCACAAATCTGTAAAAAAAAAGACATATAAGATTTGATCAATTGCATAAAAAAGTGTTACAAAGTGTATCCGTAAAATTTTAAACATTGTTACTAAAACGGGTTGCACTCTATTAAAAGTGTCACACTATAAGCTAATCAAAACTAAAACAGTCCTCTTTGTAAAAAAAAAAGTTTGGTAAACAAATAAAAATTGTAATTGAAAATTACCTTCTTCTCAAACTCGCTGAAAGCAGTGACAGTCGAATGCTTTTATGTTGCACTCACTTAAAAGCGGATGCGTCGATTTGCTTCAAATTGGCCTTAGCTGCCACAACTTGTAACGAACACGATTCTGACCTTTACAAACGTGGTCAGTCGATTTTAATTACTTTCAAGATGTTTAAAAAACTTTGCGCTGCATTAGACGCAGATACTCTGTAGTTGGCTGTGATTTTGGCCAAACGAAATGTCCTGTGAACTGCACAGCATTACTTTTTTACTGTACATTCCGCTATTCGAGCTTCAGAACTAATTAAGGCGAAGTGTTTTGTGCAAATGGACTGATTATTATTTTCGTTTTGCAAGACAGTGTTTGCTATGCCTTTTGTGCGGGAAGCCACCAGGTAATTTTTTCTAATTGAGTTTCTTCGTTTGCTTTCAAACTTTACCTCAGGTTTTTCTTATATTACTTGGCATTAGCCGCACACTTAAGTTGTACGCTTTGTTTGGTCATGGACTTCCGACTTCTAGTTTAAATTCTTTACTACTTAGTGGCTCATGTTATGTAGAAACATAATTTAAATATTTGTTATACATTTCGAATAAAAAAGTGCAATTATATCCTTCCAGACTATCCTTGCAAGAAAATTTGATAAACATTTACATACATACATACATACATATGTGCATGTTTCTTGCCTCCATTCTGTGTGACAACTGAAAGCGTATAGAGTTTACACAAAGCGGTTAAACTTTAACTTAAGCGATCGGAAAATTTCATTTCACGGATAAGAAAATGTTGTAATTGATTGTGCAGAGTTGCTGGCTATTTTTCATTTTACCTTTCGCTTAACATTTTCAGGCTTTCAATTATCAGCCCTTTAAACACAAATTTTGTTCTAAAAAAATTGGTCGTATTCCTGTTTTCGTACGAGTCGAAAATTTATGATTTTCTTATTACTTTTCTAGATTTTAAATTTTCGATTCTAACGAAAACAACAATCCGGCCCAATGTGTTTGAAGGGCAGATAAATTTTAAAAGGCACTTATATATATATATATATATATATATATATATATGTATATTTTAAACGGCACTTATTCAACAAACAAGATGCTTACAGAGTTTTTTGCAATACGGGCAACTGTTTTATTAAATATTTTTTTTTGCAAATTTTTTATTAAAATATTGTTAGTTCTACAACAAAAACCCCAAAAAATCAGAGTTCCAAACCTTGTGCAAAATGAAAGAAACTTCTGCAAATTTTTATTGAAATATTACACTTTTTATTACACTCTTTAGAAAAATATTAGTATGCAGTTCCTTAGCCCATTCAATTTTTGTACAATACAGTGCAAGCTCGCTACCATTGATTTTTGACCAATTTTTTTGTTGGAGGTGTTGCTCATTTTCTCCATATAAAATAATATTCGATAAATGAATGAACTAAAAAACTGCATACTCAATTTTTTTCTAAAGAATGTAATTAAAAAGTGCAATATTTTAATGAAAATTTGTAGGAGTTTCTTTAGTTTTGCACAAGGTTTGAAACTCTGCTGTTTGTGGTTTTTATAAAAAACTTGCGAGATCCAAAATATTCTAAAAAACAGTTGCCCGAATTGCATACCTTTATTGATTGACTATATGCATATGGGAAAAACTCCGGCTAAAAAAACGTAAATAAATTATGCATCAAATTGTTTGAAATCCATTGAGGAAATATTAAATTCTTGTATTATTCATTTTACTCAAATGCTTAAAAAGTTGCAGGTAAAAAACGATAATTTTTGAAAACATAATGTAAGCGATATTTCTACAGGGCGTGGTTTTTGCCCGATTTCAAAAATTTACAAGACAGTATTTAAGAAGGTCAGGCACAATGTGTATATCAAATTTGGTAATGATTGGTGCAGTGGTTTTTGAGATAAAAATATTTTACATAATGAGCGGGCCGCGCCCTGTTTCCAAAAAATTTTACGAAAAACTAATTTTCGCTTCAGATCCATTGAAAATATCATTTAATTCATGGCCGTATATTAGACAAAAATTATTTTATGTATTTAGCATATTCAACGAACTTTATGAATGTTATCTAACGAGCGCGCTTAATGCCAGCCTGTTATGTAAGGTAAAATTTTAAATCATTCACGCAAAGACCTATTCAGATAATATTTGTTATATTTTCAATATTTTCAAATGCACACAGCTGTAAAAGGTCTTATTTTATTCTTATAAACAAAAACGAGCAATGTCGTAATTGATAAAAGTGCAAAATGAAAAAAAAAACTTATAATGAAACCTTTTCCATAATCACGAGTGACAGATTTCAAGTTGTTACAGTTTATTTCCAATGAGGAGTACTAATTTTTCTCAACATCTAATGCATATTCCATTGCCATTTGCGCTGAAAAAGTTATAGTCAAAAATCGTACAAAAGGCACCCAAAGTGACACGACAAAATTGTTATTTTAGTTATTTTGATTGTTTATGAAAATTGAAATAACATTATTAAAATAAAAATAAATAAATAAGTTACAAGATCTCGTCACATTTGTTACCAAAACGGCCCAAGATTTTTACAAAAAGTAAAATTACATTAATAAAATTAATTTAAAGGTGAGTGACAAAAAAGCACACCGTTCCGGAGATTTGCCCACATACCAAATAACAAAGAACAAGGGGAAACATTTTGAAGAGCATTAGGCTCCAGGAGGTTCTGGATTCAATTGTTTAATGGGAATAAAAAGTTTCTTATGATATTAAAATAATATAAATTTATTTTTGTGATTTTTTTTGTCTTCAAACTATGAAAAGGCATCTGTGAAGTGCAGAACGAAACATATTCCAGTGAAAAAATCGCTAAACAAAAATCTGTTCAAAAAATAACAAAACACCGCTTCACGCTAATTCATATGCGTTCTATGGTTTATTTCAAGGAATTCATACGAGTTTGTGTTATTAGATCAGCTTATTTCTTCCTATTTCATTTGCCTTACATGTATTTTGTATTTGCTTTTACTGATTTGACAACAAACCCGCCAAAAACTAAACCAAAAAACATGTAAACTTTGACAGCTAATTCACCTTGGTTTATTTTTTTTTCAGTGTATGTATGTACTATAAAGTGATGCTTGAGTGCCAAACAAATAGCGAAAGCTACCAGCTACCACTCGCAATGGATCAACAAGTAAGTGCTGAAACTATCCATATTGACTTTTTAAAGCACATAAAAAAATTTCGTCAAAGCAGTGTGAAGCGATGGACGAAAGCAGTAAGTGAACGGAATTGAAAAGAACATAAATATTAGTAGCGGCTACTGTTTTCGATCATAGTCAACCGAAATCCTTCAGATACTCACTTCAACCAATACACTCAGTCTCGTTACAAAAGATTCAATATACATACACAGCTATTACATTACCAAAAAAAATCAGTTAATAAATTGTAGTTTTTACTTAACATGAAAATCGTAATGGTCGTTTTTGCTTCATGTCAAAGTTGAATCCCTCCATCAGCTCTAAATAGTATTCACTAGTAATCGGTGTACCTTTTTTAAGGTAACTTGTATGAATTAATAATGCGTGCATACAAATAAAAAAATGTCGGCATGCCCTTGTTCACAGACAGACCACGCGTGACCATCTGTAATAACTACACGTGCAACCGGAGAAGTGCACCACTTTAACTGTTCCCTGCTCTCTGTTGTGTTGTGATGGATCCATGTTTTATTTAAGGTTACGAAACACTGCAAAGATTTGTTTCTTTGTTGTCTTATGACGAGTGTTAGCGATAGCTTTTCCATACCCAAACATTTACCCAGCTGACACATGTACCTTCAACCTAAGCCATCTCACGAAATTTTATTCTCCGTTCGTCCAATATCAATTCATGGATTTTATTGACGATTCAAGTTCATGGAGCAGAGTCTCCTTATTGGGGTGCATCACAAAAAAAAAGTTCGATTATTCCATTTCGAAAAATAGGTGAGCTGGATCGAATTGAAAATACAACCAAAAATCTCATCATTTTGATGCCGTTGATACATTTTTTTTTTAATTTATACGCAGACCTTGAAAGCTTTAATCCTTCTATCATCTGAGGTGATTTTTTAGAAAAGTATACTTTAGAGAGGTATACACTTTTAAAAATGATTTTGATGGAGGTCTTACATAGAATATAATAAATTGTATATATCCGTAATAAAAAAATTCCGTTTTTTTTTGTGGAGAGTGGTGCATTCTAATGTATATATATCATTCTTATTTTTGGTGGGAATATCCTCTGGATAGCAACCGAACACCCGTTCGGAAGTGAGTTAATGCGAGAAAGGAAACTTCTTAACAATGGGTTGAGCGCTGGGTGCCCAAAATCCCTGCCAACGAAAGGTTCAATTTAGCCTCGGAGACTCCTTCCTTTCTTTTGATGAACGATGAGCTACATGAGCAAGAACATCTTCAAGGGTGCAGTGGCTTTTCAATGGTAAATAGTTTGCCTATTCGTATCATGGTTTTCTCTAGAAAAACCGTTATAAAAAAAAACTATGTATCTATTACATATGCCCTATGTCACAGGGCAACACTAATTTCGGTGCGGTTAAAGCTACTTTTGATAGACTTTTTTGGGCTGATTACGAATCCGTAGATATAAGCAGTGTTTCAGAAGCTCTAGCGCAGAAACAAAAGAAAATTTTCATTTAGGCCGAAATTAAAGCTGGAGCTTTCGACTACAATGTCTGAAAATGCAGATAGTTTTGATGCGAAATAAGAACGAATCTCCGGAAAGTCGCTGATTAAATATAACACGAACA